TTGCAGGCGATCGTGTACCATTGACCTGTTTCTAGCCCGAGAAGAGTGGACAAAAGCGGTTGATCATGGTGATGCAGCGGTGGTACAAGGACGGTTTCTTTTAGCTGAAACCACCATTCGCGGCTAAGCACTCATCCTACCAAACAACGCCGGTCATTTCGATCAAAGTTCATTGGATGCCTAATTGCCTAGTGGCAGTCTCCTGACCAGACGTCCCAACTTGCCGGAAGCTCTTGACGCTTTTCACCTACTATCAGGTCGTTTAATGACAACTGAACATGTTGGAAGTCACTGTAATCTCGCGATGAATATGTAGACCAATTGGAAACCTTACCCCAGTAAGACCCAGGACAACTGCTTCTGGTGACAAAGTCAGACTACACGCACTTCCTTCATGGTTGCAATTTGAACCTCAGCGGCCCCAAATGGATGGACAATGTAAGACTATTTGGTCTACCGGTTAACACAAGCTGCCATGCGCTGCGTACCCTAATGATGACTGCTGATCCTAACCGATATTACTAAAATACAAATAAGTTTCAGTTCAGTTTGTACAACCATTAACCTTACACTTTCGTGCGCCGGTTTTGGTTGCTGTCATTTAGCTGCTCATTTAGATGAGAAAGACAGGAAGGTTGAAAGTAGAATCAAATAGAAAATTTAGAATTTCAGTGAACTAATGTTCCAAAAAACCGAGAAGATGCACAAACGCCACAGTTTACGACTCTCAGCAATATCACTCAGTGCATCTAACCATTGATTGAGCTGATCCTGAGGTCCCCATCCAGGAAGCCTAATAGGACCTATGTGACCCAAACTCCTGGTTAGTGTTTTCATACCCTCATGCCAATGTAGTATATCTCCAATATAAACAGAAGCCTCAAGAACTGGATCGAAACTGTATTTATTTAGTACGTAGCAACACTATAAGAATATGAAATGGTTACAAAATAAAACAATAATATTATATTATACGTGTGGGTGCTGTTTTGGTCTTCGTTCTCAGTGTCTTTTATCACTGTGCCAGGTGTCACACAACTTCTACAGTCTGTAAAAGGAGAGGAAAGGCGGCAATCAACAGCAATTCGGCATTCAATTACCCGACTTCAGTCAATTTCGGTTTCACACTACACCACGTCTTTGTTTGACTGCCCTTGACCTTTATTCAACCGCTACTTGCCTCGGCAAACATCGCTCGTCGTGGTAACCTACCTGGTGACATGCGTAATACATGCCACGAACAACTTAATCTCTGGAGGTCGACCATTTGTTCCAGTGAGTATCACAGTTACCTAAAACTCTGCACCTGACCTCAGCATTGCTCGTCCGGCTGCCCCACCAGATTCGTGCGATGCAGCATAGACAGCGGCGTTCAAACACAGTCTATCTTTATCCTGTTTCCTCAATGGTCAAGTTACTACTCCGTATAGCAGAACTGGCCGAAATGCCGCAGTATACACTCTTCAGCCGGATGTCGCGACGGCACCACAGATGTCTCAAGTTGGAAAATGCAAATAAGGGAGAGGAAACTCTACCGAGTAGAGTTATCTCATGTGGGAGAGTGGCAAAATCAAGTATGGTAAAAACAGTAGTGGATAAAATAGTCAAAGGAGTAAAGTCATCAATGATCGTGTTGAATTTCAGACTGAATGCATTTACTTCGTTAGATAAAATAAAATTTGTACAAATCATCGTTTTGAACGAAAATACAGCTATGGGAATTAGATAAATAGGAAATCCAGATGGTGGTAGTTGGATGCAAACACGATAAGTGTTAAGTACCAGTCGAAGGTGGCAAACCACTGCGTATAATTCAAAAGTCGACTGGAGAAGTGGTTAATTTGAGATAAAACTGGATTGTTAAGTAACAGATCATATTTATGAAATACAATAAAGTAACCCTAGGTCAAATTCATCCGAAAATGTTGATGCACGAGATAATGTCACATTCGAACTTCTTGTCGTTTGCAGGTAGAGCAGAAGATTGATCATTCGTTGGCACACCAGTGCAGCGAAAAATACTTAACACACTGCTGCTCTAAAGGTACGATAAAGTTTGCGTTTACTACTCACTATTAGAGGAGCATAAGAAATTTGTAGTATCTTGAGGGCAAACAAATGCGGCTTAACTGTCATTGAGCAAACCATATAGAATTCAAAACGCCTACACTGATAACAGAAGGACAGAATATATTCAATTTACTAAGAATAGCAATAGAGTGGGTCACGCAGTTCATCCCGCGAACATTCATTATGAAGATAATGTAGCTCGTTGAAGAAAGCAGAAGAAAGTGAAAGCACGTGCGACAAGAAAGAGTTCAATACGCTTAATCAATCGACGGTAAGGCGTACTGTGTGGTAAAGTGCATGCTTTCTAAATATTCATGTCGTTTCGGCCAAAAAATAAACATCAAGGGACTAGATTCAGAGGATATCCCAGCTTACTTTAGATACTGAGGAAAAATAACAGATTCAAAAACATGGAATAGGGTCTTAACCGTTGAATTAAAGTGAGAGACATGATCAGTCTCTTTTAAAGACTGAGAAAAAGAAACAACAAACAAATATTTTGTCATTTACCGAATCAAGATTTTAAGATAATTTTTTTATTACACAAAGTGAATTACAGTAAACGGGGAAATCCCCATGTGCAAAATAGCATACTGTAAAGGGGAGAGTAGGAGAACATTCACGTAAGATCCAGTTTATTGATTCTGTGTTTAAAGAGTGTAAGTTTGTAAGTTGGGGGGAAAACAAAAAGAAAGAGAGTGTTCCACAGTTTGGCAGTTCGGGGGAAAAAAGAAGATTGGAGTAGAGAGGTACGGCACCTTGGAACAGAAACCTGGTAAGGATGACTGGATGTCTGTGAACGGGAAGGACGGGAAAAAGTTACAGGAAGAGGAACTGCCGAGGCAAGTTCCGAAGAACAAAAACCAAAGTAGTAGCGGTAGAAGAGGGAAAATGAAGCAACTGCCCGACGATGGGCTAGCGACTGTAGATTGGATGTTAGAGAAGGATCATCGATTAGCCGGATGGCCGGATATATAAAAAAGAATCAAACAATATCACAAGTTCCATGTACGGTTCAATTCAGTTTTTACAACCATTAACCAAGCGCTTTGTTTTCAGAAACAGAAGTCCTGGAAAGCAAAATGATCAATGATCCTTAGATTGCTCTTAGTGCAGTCAGATGTCATTATACATCAGTGAATTTCAGTTCATGAAGTTGTCACAAACTAACGCGTGTTGACATTTTAGCACGTTTGCTTTACTCACAGACTGAAAAATTGCACTGTTCTGTCGAATTAGATCGTTAAAAACTCCCGCAGTCCATTGCTCCTCTCTGACATCGGCTGAGTTGGCTCTCTTGGCCGACTGTGAGATAACGACCTTGGAATATTGATTTTCGTGTCTAATCAAATGATCCGGGTCCCAAAGTCGATCGATCACACCAACATCAGATGTGTTGACGCAGTTTCGCCTAAAAGAACTGATGTCTACCCTCCATCCATCAAAAGAGTGAATGATCACCAAATCTAAGCTCGAGTAATCAAGTGAACTTGCTCCAATTTGGATAAATTTTCAAGGGATGGTATGTGCCTGTCAGATATCACCAAGTTATTCTGGGTGTTCTCATAGCACGAAATTGTCTGCATTCATTTGGGTCAAGCAGGAATTCAGTTGGGAAGTGCATGTTGGGAGCTGCTTTGTCTGGAACATGGCTTAAAACCCGACGGCAGGATGAAACCAAATGGGGCGGACCAATCTCACACGACATTTTTCCATGAAGCCACAAAAAACAAATATGTCCCACGGACTCTTTTTGTGGATCTAGAGCCAACCGTTGCAGGTAGGTTTATTTTTGTAGTTAAATGCGGATGCACAAAAACGATATCCAATGCCAATGCAAGAAAAGTTTCAGCTAGGGTTTTCTATACTTCATAATTGATTATTATTGCATCGTGTGAAAAATGAATTAGATGATTGTTTTCAGCAACAACTAGAATAATATTCAGGTCCTTAGTTCGAAAAGAATGCTATGTTGAATGTGTTTGCATTGTGAAAGGCACATGTTACTCATAATGCAACGTTAACGATTATATAATCGTTAACGTTGCACTTTCGTGTGGCAGTCTGGAATAACTTTCTGTCAGTTATTGTACACAAAATACCCTACCAGCAAAAACACACAACGCACAATCTGCCGCGTTCTGCCTCACGAATTTGTCGAGCAAAATTTCGCGAATAAAAGCGAATTTGCAACAGACTCTGACAAGCATTCAACTATAGATGATTCATCAAAATTTTCCGAACAATCCAAGCATCCACAAACGTGTGAGTAAAAAGGAGAGGACACCGA